ATTGATTTTTAAACATTCTAGAAGATTGAGTTTCAAACTCTTCTCTTCTTAATGTAACAAGTCATATTCATGATTGAACTCATGACCTTCTGCTGAAAGATGGTTTGCAAATGCGGAGTTTGTCTTTCCCTCCAATAAGCTACTTCTGTGCTCTTTAATTATTTGGGAAAAAGTTCTCCCTGTTTGGTCAATATAAAGTTTTGGGCGAGAGCCATAAGTCAACTCATATACTCCTGATCTATTCGACACTGAAGTTTTGTCTTCATTGTTTTCAATAAATTTACCTAAACTATTATTATTGGTAGACAGTGTCTTATAGCGGACGCTAACGTTTTTTGAATTTGGGTAGACCTAGTCCGTGGCTTGTTTTTCTAGTATTTTGGAAATAATAGGGTCGATAATATCCATCTTGTAACCTTTGTTGACCACGATTTGTTTGAATGAACTCAGCTCTTTCTGGAAATTACTTTCCGACAGTGGAGATTGTAGCCTCGAAGATTAGCCTCGAAGTAGTCGACTCATAGTATTCCAGGACGAGAATTCGAGGACCCCGGTGGAGACTAATTCAACACAAACGGTGCGTGGGATAGCGGAAGAACTGGGCGTCAGCTCCCATACGGTTTTTGATGGTTTAAAGCGAATTGGAAAGATCAAGAAGCTCAAAAAGAGGGTGCCCCAAGATTTGAACGATCGACAGAAACTGTCACGTTTCGAGGTCTGTTCTTCTATGCTTTCGCGCAACCAAAGCGATTCTTTTCTGTATCGGATCGTCACGTGTGATGAGGAGTGGATCCTCTACGACAACAGAAGATGTTCTGGACTGTGGTTGGACACCGATGAGCCACCCAGGTACTTCCCAGACGAAAACTCACCAAAAAAGACCATGGTTAGTGTATAGTGGTCAGCGGCAGGTGTGATTCACTATAATTCTGCAACCGGGTCAAACCACCACAGCAGATTCCTATTGTGAGGAAATCGATAAAATGTACCGTCAACAAAGGAGGTCTGCCCGTCCGCGAATTTCACAAGTTACCGTCTGAAAATCAAACAAATGGCGCGTCGAAGTTCTGCCTTACCTACCATAGTCTCCAGAGCTCTCGCGAACCGACTACCATATTTTCAAGCACTTCATTGAATTTCTCACCGGTAGAATCTTCTCCATTAGGGCCAGGCAAGCAATATTTTCGTCGACTTCATCGAATCCCGAGCATACCATTTTTATGCTGACGGAAGTAATCGACTTGTACTCGTAAATTGAATGAGTTTTCACTATGATATTACAGTTTGAAGTAGACTCATAAAAACGGACGAAACTTTTGAAACAACCTAACTAATAGAAACATGAGGAGATGTGATGTTTTACAATGCCAATAACATATCAAGGGAAAGTTGGAAGATAATAGATAGAAAACAGGACACAGATAGTAATTATTGAATCTGTTAAGTCAAATCCTGCAGACGTAACTGTTGGTGTACCACAGAGATCGGTTCTGGGTCCTTTACTCTTTATTGTTTTTATTAGTGATATAACATATCCATGCAGATCCGAAAATAAAATCATCATTTATGCTGATGATACTAATCAGTTAATTGCGGAGAGTAATCTAGCAAAATCGGTGGAAATATCAAATATTGCAGCAAATATGTTTTATGAATGGTGTGTCGATAACGGACTATCAGTTAATACAAAAAAGACATTTTTCATGTAATTCCAGCCAAAGAATATTCGTTATGATTATAGTCCATTAATAAGGATGAATTATAAGTCTATAGAACAAGTTGATCACATTAAATTTCTTGGAATTAATGTGGATCATAAGCTTACACGGGAAATGCATATAAACAATTTAGTATCCAAATTGAGCAATATTTGCTTTGTTATTCGACAACTATACGGCACTGTCTCTTTGGATATTCTTAAACTAACATACCATGGACTTGCTAATTCCTCAATAAGCTATGGCCTGATATTCTGGGGTAACTCTGCTCACGTACATAAAATATTCATTATACAGAAAAAAATTGTCATGTATGGTCAAAGCTCATTATCAGGCGACCTCTAGATCAATATTTAAAAGACTGAAGCAAAGAAGAACAAACCTCGAATAGTGGCAATTTCTGTTCAAATCGTGGGGCATCCAATTTTTGAGCTATTTGACCTTTCTAATACGATTTGAACCATCGAAAACCGCATGGGAGCTGACGCTCAGTTCTTCCCCCATCCCACGCACCGTTTGTGATGGGTAAGTCTCCACCAGAATCTTCAAATTTTCGTCCTGGATTACTGTAGGTCGACCAATTCGGGACTCACCTTCGAGGCTGAAATCTCTGATACGAGATTAAAGCGGCCTACACACGTTACGATTTTTCGTACTGCATGTTGAACTGCGAATTGTAAAGAAAATCGTACGGCATGCAATACAGCCACGTTTCATCCACACCTCACAACAGCTCGTACTGCCGAGGTTTAGATTTCAATCTTTCTGAAGGAAGTTGTTATATTGTTTTTTCTTTTTCGTTACTTCTTTAGATTCGTTTAGGAACAACTCTTTGAATTTTGCAAATAAAATATCGTAACTTGAATTTCTTTTTATTTTATTCGAGTGATCTTTTGATTTTACATCCCACAGGTAGCTGTTTTCTTTACATACAGCAATAAACTCTTCCCAGAACGTCTAATTTTTATACCCTTATAATGATAATGAAATATATAATATTCTTTTCCCTAAATGATTTGCTTTAAACGATATGAAATCGTAACTGCCGCAGCAATAAGCTCCACACATTCCAATTTGTCTACAACCCCACCCCAGACACTACCGTTGATACGATATTTTATGGAAGCTCCGTACTGCGAACGATTCGACGACTGCATA